AGTGTCTTTACTGTGAACCAGTCTTCTAAACTTCTTGAATATGAAAGAACCACATGATATTCACAGTATACTGCATGCCAGGAGAATCATCGTATTTGCATAACTCTTAAAGTTTGCTAGTAGCAGACCTTTTCGTGATGTTTCTTTGAATGGTCAGCACCAGAATCATGATGCCCAGTTTTATCTTTCTTTTTCTCTTTATCCTTGTCTTTACTTCGATCTTTATGACGGTGTTTGTGCTTCTTATGCTCTTTGTCCTTCTCCTTGTCTTTATCCTTGTGCTTTTTATGCTTCTTCTCCTTGTCTTTCGACTCACTTTTAGACTTTCCAGCTACAGTGGGAATCCCTTTCTCAGACTATGAAACACCAAAAATACCTATTGATCAGCAATTACTGGAACAGGCAAATTGTCAATATACAAAAGCACAGGGTTTGAAAAAAATCCAGTTCGCGGTCTCCAGCTTCAGAGATCAGAAAGGATTAAAAGTGTTACTTAAATATGCTGAATCAGATGTACTCATATAACTCAAGCTTCCAAATTAGATTTCTTACAGGAGGCAGATCAATTGGAGCTGTTTCACGTAGTTGAAAAGCTTCTCTAAGAACATCTAAGTCGAATGATTGGATGCGTGAATTTGACTCTTTTGAAGACGAAGTATCCTGTATAAGCTGATCCAATTGCATTCCTTCCCCTTTCCTAATTTCTGTGTCTCCCACCACATTGTGAAGATAATGTGTATCTGAAATTGACAATGAAAGAGGCTTCTTGCAGAAAAACTCGTGATGAGCCAACAACTTGAAGTGAGTGATAAGATCCACAGCACCTGTAAGTTCTCTTGGCCCTAATAATGTATTTGGACCAATCAACCACAGTAAGCCGATGATATCTTGATTTAAAAGAAGATATTTTAAGGAGAAGAAGATCAGATTGTCAAATGCTTTAATTTTAAATTCTTCATATGAAATCTGAGAGGTGGGTCACAATTTTTACAAATATATCTTCGAACAAACATGCAACATAAGGCAAAGGACTCACTACTATTTAAAGTCAGATCTCAAATTTATTGCTAAATGGTAAGTCTGCTACGCAACTCACAATACCATACTTTGAATTCCTCTGCGTTTTGTATTACTTCCATTTATCACTTCCAATATTATAACTCGTTATACTGGAGCATGCAATACTGTTAATCTCTCTCCTCCAATATCAGAACAACTAATGCTAAGTAATAAAATCTTCTCTTTTTTGGTTTGATTCTGCTTCACAAACTAAGACCAATATTCTTTGTTGGCAATCACAGCTTTTACAGCACCTTAACCGTTTGCAAACTGTGAACCACTTTGGCAAGGCATCAATTTTTAGTTATTTGTGAGATCTTGTTACTGAAGTCATAACCCTAAGAACATAACTCTAACAGCCAACATCATCCAAATGTTGAAGGAAGAAGCTGGATAACACATTGCTTCCAAAAGCTTCAGAACTTGCATTGCTAATGAATTCTTTTTTCTTTTGTTAAATAAACGACAGTTGTTTCATTCTTGGAATGAAACTGAAATTGGCAAATATAAGTCGGCAGTAAATCATTAACTCCTACTTCCTGAAAGTAAAAACAATAGCACCACAAAAGGAAAAAAAAGAAACAGAAAACAGAAACTCCAGAGCAAATAGATCACGCAGGAAATTCACATAGTAGTACTGATCAACTACTCCCTCCGTTCATTTTTTACTTGTCGACAATGGACTTTGCACTCTCCTTAAGAAAAAGTAAATGAAGTACATATTTTACTATAATACCCATAATAATAATAACATTTCGAAGTCTTGGAAAATGATTTGGGGAATAAATAGATAATGATAAGGGTAAAAACCAGGGGCGGATCCAGCTTGTGACCTACGGGTTCACGTGAACCAGTAGCTTTTGTCCAAACAGTGTAAATGTGTTCCAAAAAATCACTAAATATCTATAAATGTTTGAATGTGAACCCAGTTACTATGGAAAATTTACTTAAGGTAGTTGCAGGAACCCATAAACATTAAATCCTAGATCCACCTATGGTAAAAACATGAAAGAAAATTTGTCTCTCTTGATTTGCTAAAATGGACAAGTAAAAGTGATAATATATTTTTAGTATAGTGGACAAGTAAAAGTGAATGGAGGGAGCACAATGCATTTCACCTTAAATTGAAACCTAGGCATGCAATAATGACCCAAGTAGAGTCAAATGTCTACAGTAGTCATTTTACCCTAACATGCAAAGAGACTGTTGGGAAATCACTGTAGGAATCATACCTCTTCCAAACGTCTTGCTGTCTGGATCCATCAATTAGCGTCCAGCACATGAATAATGCATTATTTCCTGGAAAGTATTGGGGCGTAAGACAATTGTACACAACTATCTAGCCAAGCAATGGTTTACTCTACTTATGGGACTAGAATGCAAACAAAATGGCAATGAATATATATATATACAAATTATACATATTTTGCACCTCCTGGGTACTATAACAAAATTACTTTACTTGTCAAAAAAATAGATATATACAAATTAACGAATGTAAATAACCACCATGGTGAACCAATAGAGCTCATCGATTTCAGTATCTTCCAAATACTCCCTCCTACGTGATAAACATGACCTGCTTTTGCTAGTGGAGAGTTCAAGCATGGAATGCTTGAATTGATATTATATTGAGTTTGGTAAAAATGTGTTTAAAATTATAGTTCCAAATTCTCATCATTTGACACATTCCCGTATCAATCAAATCACAGAGTTTATATATAAGAGACAACTATAATACAACAAACAGAAAATATTTTCAAGAATACAACAAAAAGAGGACTCCAAATTTTCCACATACAATATAGAGGAAGAAAAGCATACTCGATCTGAGAAGTAAATTAGGGTTCCAACGAAGCACGAATCTCGTTTATCCTCCAATTGAAGCAAAAATTGAGTATATAGAAGAATTTGATGATTTAGGGTTTTGCAATTTTAGAATGAATTTGGATCTATGGATCTTTATTGAACTGAAAATAAAAACCCTAATTTTCCCGTTTCGCGGAGTTGAGATGCTATTGGTTAACGGCTCAGGAAAGAGGGAAAATGGACCTCTGTTTTTTATTATAGTGTAAACCTATTATTATTATTATTATTATTATTATTATTATTATTATTATTATTATTATTATTATTATTATTATTATTATTATTATTATTTTATTTTATGTCATTATTTTACGTCAATTAGCCTTGATTATTATGCCTAGGTTCAGAGGGAGTTTTGCGTCATTTAGGAAAGGTTTTTTCCTTTTTTTCGTATTTTTCAAATGGTAAAGGTATATATTTAGGAAGGATTTATTTGTCAAAAAAGTCATTTAGGAAAATTCTTTCTTCTTGTGGTATCATTTAGGAAAGTTTTTTTTTTAAAAAGTATTTAATAGAAATTTGATTGGACTAATAAAACCAATAAGTTTTTAAATGTCGAACGTGTGACATTAATGTTCAAATTATGACTTATTGACCATTGAATTGTCCTTGATATTTATTGAATATGACCTTGATCCAAAGACACATTGCCAGATCAAAATTAAGTTTTACGGGTTCAACTTATAAAATTCTTAGCATTAAACTTATTATATTTTTAAATTATGGGCTCTTGTGTTCTTAAATTATGAATTCATCATATCTACTATTTGTTGTAAGTTTTATGAATTTTTACTCATAAAATTTACGTCGCGTCGAAAATATTAAGTTCAGATGAATCCAATACTACAACTTTAGATCTCCCTTTGTCGAGGTAGGGCTAATATTTGAATCAAGCTTGATAAAGTCAAAAAGAGAAAGACGTTTAAATAAAATTGTTACCAGGTTAGATATGATTAAGAATAAAGTTATTCGGGATAAGGTGGGTGTGGCCCCCGTGGAGGATAAGATGCGGGAGACGAGGTTGAGATGGTTCGGTTAAGAGGAGAAGTACAAAAACTCGTGTTAGGAGGTCTGAGAGGTTAGCCTTGGAGTGAATTGGGGGAGGGGGTAGAGGTAGGCCAAAGAAGTCTTAGAGAGAGCAGTGATCAGGCGAACACGACACAGCTGGAGCTTACTGAGGACATGACCCTTGATAGAAAGATATGACGGTCGAGGATTAGGATACTAGGTTAGCAGGTAGCCGAGCGTTCTCCCCGTGTCTTCTTAGTTCTATAGCATTAGTGTCAGTATGATATTTCTTTATTCTTAGAGTGCTATTACTACTTAGGGCTTGTTTGGTACGAGAGATAAGAGATAATTAATTCCGAATTAAATTCGAGACTAGTTTATCCCACGTTTTTTGGGAATAAAATCGTGGTATAACTAATCTGCCCCACGGGAGGGTGAAATAACTGATCCCGAAATAATTAATCATGGGATAACTTGTTTCCCAACCAAACGACCCCTTAGTGTTTACTTGTTATGTTGGCTTCGGTCTCCTCGAGCTATCTTGTTATGTTACTACTTGTTGCCTGTTTACTTGTTATCTTGGCTTCGGCCTCCTCAATCTATCTTGTTATGTTACTACTTGTTGCCTTCACATCTTTTCATACTTTCTCTAGTCCAGGATCATCAAAAATCTCCTCAATCTATCTTGTTATGTGACTACTTGTTGCCTTCACATCTTTTCATACTTTCTCTAGTCAAGGATCATCAAAAACAATCTCTCTGCTCCTCCGGGATTCTTTTCACCCTTTCTTTAACCGAGAATCTATCAAAAACATCTTTGTGCTTCCAAGGTAGGAGTAAAGCTGCATACATATTACCCTCATTCATTGAGTTTGTTGTTGTTACTAAATTGTCTTATTCTAAGTCATTTAACCAAATTGAAAAGGATTTAAAAATACACTAACATAAAACAATTTGACACTGTTAGTATAGTTTAATTTGTTATTACAAGTTGCTTGCTTTATTTTCAGAAAACTCGTTCTACTAGCGGATAGTGCAAAACTTCTAATATGTGTGAATGTAAAGAAGTTAAAACTTCAAAGGAATAAACAGATGAATGAAGCAAAATATAATCTCATACATCGTCACTTTGGTATGTCTCATTCTACTAAGGATGCAAAACTGAGATCTCTACTTAGTAGAAACAAGAAAAGAAAAATATAATAGAAAAACCATAAGCGACAAGAATCCAAAATTCTTGTTATGTAGTTAACTAATCATCGTCTTCCTCATCATCATCATTTCCAGCAGCAGCATTCAAAGCATTGAGTCTTTCGATCAACCTAGCTTTCCTCTCGTCATACGTTAGCTTCTTAAGGTTGTACCTGCAGAACAGCCCCAAAATGACTAAAGTGAGAAAAGAAGAAAGATTTTCATATTTAACAGAAGATTTTCAGCCATTAGAATCTAAGCATCGTGCAGAAATGAGAGGCCAAAGACCCTATATGGACACACGACACATCTAATGTACCAATGAATCGTCCTTATACCTTTCAGTTCATAAGGTTTGCAGAAATGAATGATGCACAAAGGCTAAAAATGATAGATCAATTAAACTAAAGACAATCTCAAACCTCTTGTGCTGCTTAGGAGGTGGCTTGTCAGACTTCTTTGAACTTGGATCTGCACGTATGGCAGCATGAACCTTCTTGTACATCTCCTCAAGATCATCTGCCTCAAGACCCGTCTTGATGTACTCGCTAAAGTGTGACTGATATTTCTCAGGTTCATCTTCCATCAATGTCTGCAAAGAAAAGTAAGGCATATTAGAGAGGTGGGGTGACAAGAAGCCGGAAATAACATTGAAGATCAACATCCCCGACCTACACATGGACTGTAATAGTCATAAATTACAAAAGATTCAAATATAAATACTTCTATCTCACTTTCATATATGCAGAAACGTGGCCACCGTAGATATACTTGCGGTGAACATCTGCATCAAGTTGCTTGGAATCCTTGCCGAATCCAGCAAACCTCTTCTCGCTATGAGGGATATCAATCCCACCATCCAATGCACCCTGATCCAAGAATCAACATTGCAGATAGACATTGTTAAAAGTCACAAGATAGGCAGAGCTTTTATTTTTGTTTTTTATATGGAATAATGCAGATGGACAGAGTTAAAGGTCATATGACCTTAAAATGCACCTTAAACCTTGAAAACTATCCTCCAACAGCAATAGTACTCTCATTATTATACAATCTATCCAACATGTGTAAGAAGGCCCAATAGCCCCAGCATTTTTTAAAGTCGGACAAACGAAACATATTGATATACTTCCTCACAGATGGAAATAACCATTGCTAATGTTCTATATTTTGAGGTTTAGCTGATTAAAAAACAAATCAATCAACGATTCACGAAAAGCATAAACGCTGCTGTTACAAGAACTAAAATTTTCTATTAAAGCTAAAATTAGCAATCTGGCGTAATGATGTATAGACTTTAACTAGGTGAAAATGAACCAAAAGCAAACGCAGGATAATACCTTGAGAGCACCAAAAACACGATTGCCTGTGGTAGTTCTTATAAGGCCAACATCAAGGAGAGCACGGAAAGGCCTCCTGCTTTCAGCAGGTTCAACGGAGTAATCCTCCCCATTGACCTGTAATGATGTTTAATTAAATTAAAGTCAGAAAAAAAAAAGGAAGCAAGTATTGTGCAGCCACAGCAACTACTTACATCGAGGTTCCCTTCATACTCTTCGTCCATTTCAAGCTTTTTGAGAACTCGTCTTGCCAAGAGAAGTCCAGTACAGTATGCTAATTTGAGCGTTAAAAAACGTATTACTTGTATATAAAGAACAGAATTTCAGGAGGAACAACAAACAAATTGAATAGCTTTGTGTAAGTACCAGCAGCATAGTTTGTCAGTCCGACTTTAAGTCCATAACGAGGCAACTCACGAGCATAGGCAGAGGCAAGAATCATGTCACCAGCAATGCTAGCAGACACAATTTGTGCAATAATGTCCTGGTTAGTCTAGAGAAAATGTTAAGATAAACTAGGAACATTCACCTCCCGACGTCACATATAATTGGTTATCAAAACATCCATTATCAATCAAGTCATGAACGTTCAACATGACATTCAAGGAACCCACAGTAATAAGGAAACGTTCTGTGGACAAAATGCAAAGGCAGATCATCCTATGAAAGAAATAGGAGTGTAATTAAGTAGATGCTATGCAAGTTAAAAAGGGCAGAAAACTGCATTAGAAAGGATACAAATCGGACAACAAAACGGTATTTTGGTGTGTTGTACTTATTTTTGTCCTGATTGATCAGCCGATTCCTGGCTCTATAGTCAGTCTTTCCCTCTACACAGTAGCAAAACATTGAAATTGGTAATATTTTACTTGCAAACAAGATTGAGAACAGACCAAAAAATGATGACGGAACATAGAGATTTACCTCTCCTTCTCTTGAATTTAACCTGGAAACGCTTAAAGTAAGCCCTCGTCTTCTGGACTTTGATGAAGGCCTGTAACATAATTCAGCAACAATGTCAAAACTCAACCAGAAAATAAAGAAATTCCCCAAAAGAGAACTAGCAATGCTATTGGAAGGTCAAGTAAGGAACATAAGCTTAACTTTAGATCTAACATAGAATTGTGAAGTGGTTCAATCCCCTTGGGGATATGCAGTGGAGGATGGAGTTCATAAATTACGGGTTCAGCTAAAACCAAATATTCTTAACACAACATAAATACATGGGGGAAACCCTATAATATTTTAATAGACATTTACACTAAACCCCATAACTTAAAAGTACAATAAGTTCAATGATAAGAACCTTAAAGGTTGAACTCATCATGTTAAAACCCTAAATCGGCTCTAGGGATATTTTGTCATAAAAATCTAGCTCCAATCCGAAATGAATTTGCATAATAACATACTGATACACATAGATACATTTTCAAATTCCCACAAAAAAACCATTTTTGTTAACATTTTCAAAGAGAGGCCCAAAAAGGTGATAAAAATTCACGAAATCAAAACTAAGTATATCTCAATAAGATAAAACAGATAAAAATATGAACAATAATATTATGGCCATAAACAAGAGAAATAACACTAAAATCACAATTTGCTATTCCTTTAGACAGAAAATGCACAGTACAAAAAATGCATGAAAAACTTTAACAAGTTTAGATAGTTGTAGTTTTTTTTTAAAACAACAAACTTTTTTTGTGTGCAAAATCTAAATAATAAAACTAAAACAAATATATATTTTATATAATTAAAAAAAAAACATAAACTGAACGTCACCACTCCCATTGTAATTATCTAACATATTCTGCTTTTTGTTCTTCCAAATCTCGATTGCTTTAGATAATATTAGTATATAATGCAATTAAAAAAAACAGAAAATGAAAAAAAATGCAAAATATGGTCTAATGAAAACCTAAAAGTTATTGAATTTTACCATTGTTGTTCTTCGATTAGCCTCAGCCGCCGGCGTTAGGGGTTGGGGGAGTGAGACGAAGCTGTTGTGAGCAAAAGAGTACTACGTTGAAGTTCAAATACGGAACTGAAACCCTAGTTAAATGTTTGGACCTTTAAGGCCCATATGACTTCGGCCCATTAGCCTGAAACCCAAAAGCTTTTGTATTAAATTAGCATTTACTTTATTTTTCTTGTTTTTTGAAGGGGAATAATATGAAATTTTGTCATTTATATATTATTTATACCGTCAATAAGTTAAAGAAATATATACTTTCCAATGAAGATTTTACAAAGATAGGTTGTCAAAAAATTGCTCGCTAGCTTAGTGTTAGAATTATAGAGGAAAAGATGTTCACATTTATCGTGTACCATTTGAATTGTTCGATTTTGTCATCTATTATATTTCTTTAATATAAGTTTCTGGACACACGCATTGTGCGTATACCCTTTATCAATGAATTCAAAAAAATTAGTTCAAAAATTGTGTGTGCAAGTTATACAATAAAAATCAACAAATAAGTATACGGAGTTCTTGAAAATAGTGAATATTGGTCATATTAAGTTAATTCAATAAAGGAAGTAATTGTTCCACATAAGTTCTCGGATGCCTTATGGTAATTTCAATACATGGATCTGTTTAGAAAATGTTAATGCCAACAAAGTAATATTTATTTAGGAACAAATAATATATATATATATATATATATATATATATATATATATATGCTATATTAATGATACCTTAGAATGACAATATACATCAACATATTTTTTCTCAATGCTTGTCTGATTGAGTCACAAAGAAAGTTCAATTTCATAACTTACAGACAAAAATTCAACCAAGAAGTGATACACAACTAATCCTAAATTGTCTCTATGAGTCCAACCACATTGTCGTTCGTGTGGTAGAGTGTCAGTTTGACATTTGCCACAAGCTGAGTGATAGTAAAGAAGAGCGGCACACGGTCGGTTCATCACCAGGAAGTTGGGTCTGCAACTGCAGCATAGCAATTCCATTATTTCTGTTAGGATCTGGAACATGGGTAGTGCGGAATTTAGCCAAACAATATTATAGTGATAATAACAAAGACAATGCAAGTCGATAACAACGACAATTAAAGTATATAAAAAAGACACCAATTTAACGTGGTTCGGTCAGTATGACCTACATCCACAAGCAGAAAGGAGCAAATTCACTATAGCAGCAAGAGTACAAAAGAGCGTACAAAATTAGAGTAAAATACTCTAATTAATTCCAAATACCCCCAAGAGAATAACCTCACAAGATTACTTCAAAGAAAGGGGATCGCACAAGTATTTCAACACTCAACTCTCTTACAAAATATTATCAATTATTAGAGAAGGAGAAGAAGAAACAAGAAATGAAGACTTAAGTTTTGTTGGTGTGTCTAAAATGAACTAATGGCCTTTTCTTTTATATGTAAAAAAAGCCTTCGCCTCCAAGGCGTAAAAGAAAAGATACAACTTGTGCAAATGATATCCACTACACAATGCAATATTTTTGTATCCCAACGAATATTGCCAACAAGGTCTATTTTGCAAATATGCTTATGCTTATGTGAGATGCACTCCACTAGCCAAAATATTGGCCATATTACAAATCTCCATCTTGGCCTAATTTTAGTTAATATAGTAAATTTGCTCCATACTCTCCGCAAAAGCCCCAATGGGCATATGTCAAAATTTAATGCCATCAAAATCAGACAAGTTGTCTGATACCGAAACTGTAGTAGGGCCTATAAAAATGGAACCCAATGTACAACGAATCGGATCTGTGTGCTTTCATGATCATAAGAGCACCTTGAAAAAATTTCAGAAGTCCACCTTCACCAGTGAATTTGCACCCAAGTGATTCGAAAGCGCCCAAGGAGATGAGATATTTCTTAAGGAACAATATCTAACATCGGTGAGAGTTCTCACCACACCATCGTGCATTCTAATCCGAATTCTACCTTTGCCGATAACGTTACAGGTAACATTGTTACCAAGTTGGACAACTCTACCTTCAACTGAATCATATGTAGAAAACAAGTCCCTTCTAGGACACATATGATATGAACAACCGGAATCTAAAATCCACTCATTGTCTTATCTGAAACTAGTTTTGGTTGCTAAAAATATAGTTCCCTCAATCTTATCAATTGCTGCACGAGTTCCGGCGGTGTCAGTATTTTTGTGCTCATTTTTCCTTTCCTTATGCTTTATTTTATTTTTTATTTTATAGAATTCAGAGATAAAGATATTTCTTATGACAGTAGCGACACTCTAAATTATTGTATCTGTATATTGAGTCGAATTTGCCCTTAACAAACAAGCCAACTTGCGCTTGAGTTCCACTAGCTTCCCCAGTAAAGTCACTATATATTTGTTCTTTTGATTTTAAGATAGATTTAATATCCTCATAAGAGATATTATCCTTTGCATGAAGCATATTATCTCTTATATGCTTAAAAGATGGGGTAGAGAATAAAGCAATAACACTGCTTGATCCTCATCTTTAATTTCAGCATCTATATTACTCAAATCCATAAGAATGGAATCAAAGGTGTCAAGATGAGAGAGAATAGAGGTACCTTAACTTATGCGAATTGTATAAAGCTTCTGCTTCAAGTAAAGTTTATTTTCCACCGTCCTGTTCATATATAATGTTTTCAATTTTTTCCACATGCCTTTGGCTATGATTTCTACAGAAACATCACGTAAAACCTCATTTGAGAGTTTTAAGATGATACATGATTTTGCCTTTTTATCTATGACGGCAAACTCCTCGTCCGTCATTTTATCTGGCTTCTTCTCATTTTCTTGCAACGCCAAGTTTAAGCCATCCTGAATTGGGATAACTTCCATCTTTAATTGCCACATTCTAAAGTTTGTACTTCTATCAGATTTCTCAACATGGGTCTTTGTTAATCATTTTGACTATTGAAACTAACCCGATTAGATCCGGCTCTGATACCAATTTATTAGGATCGGGAACTCGAGTAGTGCGAAATTTAGCAAAATAATGCTATAATGACAATAACAAAGGCAATGCAAGTAGATAACAACGACAAGTAAAGCATACAAAGAAGATACCAATTTAATGTGGTTCGGTCAGTGTGGCCCACGTCCACAATCGGAGATGAGCAATTCACTGTAGCAACAAGAGTACAAAAGAACGTGCAAATTAGAGTAAATACTCTAATTAATCCCAAATACCCCCAAGAGAATAACTTCACAAGATCACTCCAAAGAAAGAGGATCACACAAGTGTTTCCCAACACTCAACTCTCTTATAAAATACTCTCAATTACTAAAGGAGGAGAAGAAAAAACAAGAAATGAAAAGTCAAGTCTTGCTTGTGTGTTTAAAATGAACTAATGGCCTTTCCTTTTATAGGCAAAAAAGTCTTGGCCTCTAAGGTATAAAAGAAAAGATACAACTTGTACAAATTATATCCACCCCACAATACAATATTTTTGGGTCTCAAAGAATTGCCAACAAGGTATACTTTACAAATAATTTTATGTTTACGTGAGATAAACTCCACTGGCCAAAATGTTGGCCATATTACAATTACTCCCTACAAATCACCTAAGATAAATGAGAAGTCTTGTTTGCCATACCCTTTAATCCTAATATTATATATGAACTCGTAAGCAAATTACTTGTATGCAGTTTCTCATTTCTCCAAGGAACCTGATAGACTGGCTGCAACTTGGTGAAATATATGTTTGTGGTAAAGAAAATTCTGACTCTTCATATTGTTCCTTATTTAATGAACCAACAACAATGATGTTTCACATCTTTTGATTTAATGGACATACATAAATGATGAAATTGAACAACAAGCTCTTCGCTTCCTTCAAAATTCACGTTATTAGCAAGATTATTATAGTTATTGTTATTTTATATTTATTATAAAATATTTTTACATTCTTGTCCAATAATATAACAGTAATATTTAGTAGAAGGACAATAGTATCGATCAAACTTATAACGACATTTTGGTATTTCAACTTCTCACTTAGAGGTGTTCCCGCTTACAATATGTTATGATTAATGGAGTGCCAAAATGGAATAGATAATTCTGCGTATCCAAAATTTTCAAGTTTTTTTTTAAATTTAACATTTAACTTATAATTGTAATTTAAAAATACCCTCGAGTTGGAGCTCCATGATGGGCCAATGGAAAAAAATAGATTGCTTCCTAATGATGGAGTAATATTAGACAAAAAAAGGTAGTACATGAATATTTATCTATTGTCCATCGACTACGCCTTTTGGCCTGATCATAGGCCGCTAACTCACCCTCCGTGGACGAATCTTGCGGAGGAATCCTTAGGTTTTCGTGACATTGCATTCTCACTAATGTTTGTGTTACTCAAGCTGACATTCTCTACTGCTTCGTCCACCACCGCTCGCGTAGAAGCTTCTATCTTAGGCAAAACGCTCTCATAACGATGTATTTTACACCCAATAGCTTCGGTAGATCGCTTAGCCCGTTCATCTTCGGCGCGGAGCTTGAACACGCCACATCTCACGTTTGAATCCTATCTTCGGGAGCATAAAATCAAAGACCTTTGACACATACCCTCTGTTAGGGTTGTGCATTTGGATTAGATATCTGAGAATTCGAACCGATCCACTCTACTCGAATTTTTGAATTTCGGATATTCGGATCGGATATGGATTAGGTTTTTTAAAAGTTCGGATATTCGGATCGGATTCAGATTGGTATAACGTTAATCCAATCTGACCCGAAATACAAATTATATGGACATGTATAAATATTAGACTTACATTTTAGGGTTAAGTCTTCTCATTCCATTCGCCTCTCTTTAGATTTCTTAGTTTATATCAAAGTCTCACTCTCTAACCTCTCTTCAGATTGCTCAATCTGCTTCTCTTAAATCTTACTTCTGTGTCTCTTATTCTCAGTCTCTTCTTGTGACGACCCAAAGGGTCATCACCTGTTTTCTCTTTCATTCTGTGCTTCCGAGGCCTTGAAAACCTCATTTTTACTCGCCTCGATTTGTGTGCGCAGTCCGGGCGCGTAGCTGGAAAGCTTAAATATGAATTCTGT